GAAAGCAATGGTAATAGAGGCTTGTTTAACCAACAGCTCTGGGGGTTTTTGCTCTTCTGTGCAATATTCAGCATGTGTATCCCACTTACGATTATTGGACCAAGTCCTTGAAAATGTTCAATTTTACACTGGTTTTGATTTGGCATTCAAATGCCATGTTTTAACTTCATCTCAAATGATGGAGTCTGAATTCATGAACTCAAAAAGGAATTGAAAGAATGTGGTTTCTTTTGTGGGGATTTTTCATAAGGAAAAAGGGATGTTAGCTGTGCAGCTAACTATATATGCAGACACATGTAAAAAGTAGGCCGAGACATTTGCTTTAATGTAAGTCAATACTTAAATAAAAAATTGATTTCTATTAAGTTAAAAAGCACAAAAGATATATACTGTTTGTATGAAGGCTGCTGGAGTGAATATAAGCTATGCATGCTCTTAATATTGCACCTGAACAAATTACAAAGAACAATATTCCTGCTTCCCCTTTCTTAGGTCTTTTGCTAACAGGTTCTCCTGTTCCAGTAAGAACTTATTGTTGCAGGAAGTTTTTCTTTCAGCTATTCAAACTCAAGTTTCTTCACCCACTGTAAGCACAGTATTATTTTTTGTGCAGTGATGTATTGTCTAATAAGAAATGATAGTCCTCTTTGGCCATTCACATGCTTTATAAATGTCATTTGGATTGCATGCATTAGTATTTACAGTTCTGCTGTCTTAAACTCAGGTGTGACCTTTGCTTGTGGCAGTGGTCTTCATGTCATTCACCGCAAAAGAATCTGTCTCAGCTGTTCCTTTGCCTGTAGCCTACTTAAGAACTGTAGATTTAGGTTGGAAGGGACCTCTGGAAATCATCTCACCTATTCTTCCCACTTGAAACAGGGCTAGCTTTAAGTGAGATACCACCAATATGTTTACAGGTTTCTTACTTTTCCTCATAAATCATATTTTCTCCAGTTCATCATTGTTACTGATAGTGTAGAACTATCTTGCAGAACCCTGTCTTGCAGAAACAGTCTCATCTGTGTCAGTAGAAAGCACTGAGCACTTCTGAGCTCTATACATTTCTGCCTCTCTGCAGAAGAGTTTTATCATTATTCCCAATTTACACAAGCAGGCTGAATACAAAACGG